TAAATGGCCCATAACCAGTTGATATACCTCTACAATAGATACCTACAACAGATCATGTAATATATATATATATATATATATATATATATATATATATGTGTGTGTGTGTGTGTGTGTGTGTGTGTATGCGTAAACATACGGTTATTCTGAATGTATAAAATTATTTTCAAGATATGAGTAGCTAGCGCCCTAAAATTGTGGTATCAAAATTTTGCCATTAAATAACCCAAAGATGTGTTGATGTGCCGCTAAACAAATCCCCAAAAAAAAAAAACAACGAACATCAGCAAAGGTTTTTTTGCTTGAATTGATAATTAAATTATTCTTTTTCATCGTATCGTACAATGCTGGTTTCTAGATTTCAATGAAACTTGTCCATTGGCAGCTACCGGCTTTACAACCATTATTAAATAAAATGTTCCACAAAGCTTTGTATATATATATATATATATATATATATATATATATATATATATATATATATATATATCTAATGGACTCTCCCGTCGGTTTCGACGCATGAGGATCTGACAGCTTAGTTGATTCAGTTATGAAATTTTGTGCGATAATCTTAAGTGGCATTTAAGACCCGCTAGTGATTTACAAAGGAGGCCACATATGGAGCAAGAGGATTGTGAGGATATCACTCTTAGATTGGCTGACCTTTTAGATCTTACTCTCGCTTCTTGAAAATGATTCAGTCAAGCAGATTGAAAACTGCTGAGTTGATCTCCATTCTACCCGCTCCAAGGCTATGCGCTCAAGGGTGTTATGTGGTATATTGAAAGCTGACAAGTTGCTTTTCAGCTTATCTTTGTGCGTCCTACATTCCTGTAGCCCTGGTCTAACTGGCTGTACATTAGGATCTTGGGTATCCTGTCATCACACATTCTAAAAACATGACCAGTCCACCGTAACTGAGACTTTATGAGAAAAGTCTCGAATATACATATATATATATATATATATATATATATGTATTAAATAAAATTCTATGGTTCCACAAGACAGCGTTTATATGTGTGTATAATCGCTTTTATATACCTTTCATTGTATGTATATGTTGTCGTTTCTTTGTTTATTTTAAGGGTCGTGGACATATTTCCTGCCTAGTCACTTTTTTGCGTCTTTGTATATCTAAATATGTCTGCGTGTTTGTGTGTTATAATCTGATTGTGTGTGTATGTCTTTTGCAAGATTTCACCATCCTTAACCCATATCTTCCACTCAAATGTATCTAAGTTGTAACGGAGTTCAAAGCAGCTCTTAACGTTTATTCCAACTTAATTTCAATAAAAAGCAAAATAATTAAAAAGAATATGTATTTTTCCTCAGTTTCTTCTTTAAATAATTTTATAATTTTAAACTTAATATAGATTAAATTAAAAATTAAAAATTGGTAATTTATTAATTTAGTATAATTTAATATTTTTTAGTTAGAATGAATTCTATTTTAGTCTAACCCTAACATTAAGGCATTAAATAATTATTATGAATTAAGTTCGTTGTCAAGTTTTTTGAATACTCATATACTTGTATTTTGATTGTTCATTCCAGCTTATGTAACAGAATTTCCCCTTGCGAGGGGTCTTTGATTGATTTGAATCTTTTAAAACCCTTTATTATACATTCAACACCATAATTTGATAAGACACCAGAAGTGTTGAAACAAAATGGTTATTTTTGTAGTGACTTTATAACATTTTTATGTTATAATTTTCGAGTAAGTTTTCGAGTGTTTTTTTTTGTTTTAAAAGAATGTTTTCTTACACACACACACACACACACACACACACACACACACATATATATATATATATATATATATATATATATATATATATATATTATAAAACGTAAACTAATGCTTAAAAGACCCTAAATCCTTAAAACATAAAAGAAACTGATGGTTCAATGCCAAAATAGTTTAAACATAAAATATAATAATATTATTAATAAAATAATATAAAAATCTGCTACATAAAGCCTTTTGCCATCTCCCTACACCCTTTTTATAAATATATTTCTGTTTAGTGACTTTAATACCCACCATGCCAGGTGGCGTAAACACTCTGTTACTGACCCTGCTGGCATCCAAACCCTTAACTTCTCAATCACTCAATCTGTCACGCAAGTGGTGGATTTCCCCACGCGTTTCCCCGGTAAACTTGACGGACACGCTCTCTTCTAGATTGTTTTACCTCTATCCCGGACATGTCGTACTATACAGCTCTGCTCTCTTGGCAACTCTGATCATGCGATAGTGTTTCTCTTTCCACTCTCCAGCCAGACAAGACCTTCCTATTATAGCTAACAGGAATCATTTCTTCCAGATGCACCAGATGGACGCATCTGATTGCAACATAGGCCTCTTTGCCTCTGCCCGAAACGAGTGAAAACGTGTCCTCAAAGAAATGGAGTTACTGTTTGCTGATAGAATAAAACAACGTATAACATCTCCGAAGTTCAGTTCTAGAGATTATTGGCGACTCTGCAAGAGTGTACTAAGCAACAGCAAGTCCTCTATCGCTCCTGTATTCAAATATTTTGAAGTACACGTACCTACAACAGATAAGGTTAATGCTTTGCACGTAAATTCTCTTCCAACTCAACTATCGACTCATTTGTAGTACCTACACCTGATCCCTCCCCAGAATAGAGGCTCTACTGAGTGATATGAGCATAACCCCAACACTAGACTCAGAAATTTCTAAATTAGCTTCGTATAAGGCAAGCGGGGGTGACGGAATCTCAGCCGTCGTCCTAAAGAAATGTGAGCTCGAGATGACTCTACTTCTCCCCAAACACTACTATTGCCTCGCTCCTTCTCTGTAGTTTCCGTTTTTAAGAACTCTGTAGAACCCTCTAACCACCTCTAACTCTTGATCTATCAGTCTCCTATCGCTTTTCAGCCAAATATTCGAAACTTTAATCAATGCTGAATTGGGTTAATCACCTTATCTCTCACGAACTGGCAAACAATATGGCTTCCGTTTTTCCAGGTCTACCGCTCATGTGATAACGGCCATCACTGGATATGTATATCAAGCTCTTGATAATAACAGCGAAGCTCGAGTTATGACTTTAGATATCTCGAAAGCTTTTGACAGTGTTTGGCACGCTAGTCTTCTACGTAAGCTCCAGGGCTACAGTATTAATGGACGATTCTTTGATTTGATCCAATCGTTCCTATCAAATCGGGAAATTGTTGAAGCTTAAATAAGCATGGAATAATACAACACAAAATGTACGTTAACAAAATGTATTGAAACAAAGAATAGGTACACAATATTTACAGTTAGTTTGGTATATTCTTGGGAAGACTGTTCCTGCATAATGGGTTGACTAAATCGCAGTCGGGCAGAGTCTCTGGATTCAATTTCTTAATCTCTACTATCTTCCCCGTCTTCCGGTACCAACCCATATTTATATGGTCGGTAGTCCGCTTATGTAAATTAGGTGTATCATACACAACAGAAATGAATGTCGTTTTGAACGGGCTCGCTTTCAGATCGTTTCATATGAACTATTTCGCGGCCGTTATCGTCGTATAGCAAACTTCTATGTAAACATAAGAAGATATCATCTTTGACTGTGAGCATCTCTGTTGTAATATGCATGTAACCGCTCCGATGATGGCTCATGTGAGCCGAAATCTTAGCTCGAGGAATAACATAAAAGAAATATTCAAATGCTGGACAGTTTTTGTCTTTATTTTCTCCCAAAACTAAAGCCACTAAACGAAATTTAGAACGACTCAAGATCCAACATAATACTTATTCTTTGACTGTTATATTTAACAATATACGTTTGAATATATATATATATATATATATATATATATATATATATATATATATATATATATATAATTAGAAAACAGACAACCTTAAGGGTTCATTGATTATATTATATTTCTCCAGGAAGGTGTTTTTCCCAGTTCCCCAGATCACATTTCAAGCATAAAAAATGGTTTTAAATTTACGTATTAATTTTATACAATATTGAGGGGCAGTTTTAAGTTGATGTAAAGTGATAGAGAGAGGGAGAGGAGGAGGAGGAGGAGGACGACGACGATGACGACGATAGATATGGTCGAAATTAGAGAAGAAAGGGAAATATAGGTATAATTTTAAATCTATTATTAAAATACTTAAGAGTAAGGGAGTGGGGTAAGGACCAGACATTGATCTATTTAATAAGTCATCTCGCAGGAAACGAAACAAAGAGAAAAAAGAGAAGAAAAGATATAAGAAAGCAAATGTGGAAGTAGGGGTGGGAGGAAAAAGTGGGAAAAGAAGAAAAGGAAAAATAAATTAACATATATGTGCATATTGCGGTTAATTTCAAAATATTTGTATATTTTGCAGTTAACGTTTTCAAATAATATATATATATATATATATATATATATATATATATATATATATATGTGTGTGTGTGTGTGTGTGTGTGTGTGTGTGTGTGTGTGTATATATAATCAAAAGAAAGAACAGTAAGATATATAATCCGGAGTTCTTATTTCTTTTTCGAACGTAACTGATAATTGATACAATAATAGTTAATGAAAATGAACACGTTAACACCCCCGTCCAAATGATTGGATTTTCTCTGTATCCTTGGAAACAAAAAAAAAAAGAAGAAATTATGAATTGTATGTTCGTTTAAATTTAAAAATAAGTTATTCCAAAATTCGCTTGAAGATGAAACAGAATTAATCCTTTTAATTTAATTATATAATTACATTAGAAGTTTTTAGCTTCGATTTTTAATCAGTTAATATATATATATATATATATATATATATATATGGGGTGTGCAGGAGGAGCTAAAATTATTTATTATTTATTCAAACAACGATAGATATCAACTTCATCCGCATTCATATTATACAAGTTTTCTTGACCGGAATAATAAAATTACCACTGCCAGATTTTTTCCTTCGTTTTAACAACAAAAACAAAATTGTTTTGTCTAACCCCTCAATGGATTCCCGTGCGTCAAAAACATTTCTTGTTTTCCTTTTTGTCTTTAAGATATTGTTGATCTGCACCGACGACATCGCCTTTATTCTTCGCTGCTTCTTTTCCGATTCGATGTGATCTTTTTCCTTTTTTTATCGCTTCAAACGATTCCATTATTTCTTCTTTGTGTTTCGCTTGCATAACTATTTGTTCTGTAACTGGAGAAATGAAAAGGGCGACAAGCATTCTGCTGTGAGATAAAAAAAAAAAGCTCCTTCAATTGGAGGCATGCTACGATGATACGAATGGTGAGCGTGAGATGCTTTCTTTTATCACTTTTGTTTTTTCGTCCCCGTGGTTTTGGCGGGAAAATGAAGCAGGGGTTAGCATAAAAAAAAAGGTAAAAAAAACACCCTTTAGGATGTTTATCCTTTTCTGAAAAATTAAATGGAATATATCGACTGGAACACGAGAAATAAATCATCAAATTTATTTTTTTAATAACAGCAGGCGATTATTTTTAAAAGCATTATATAAAAATATCAGAAATAAATTATGAAAGAGAAAAAGAAAAAAAGGTAGTAGAAGAAAAGAGGAACTTGTGAAAGTTAAAGAAGAAAAACTCTCCCCCAGTCTCAGAAGATAGATAGACAAATAGATATGAACAGGATGGGATAGATAGATAGATAGATAGATAGATAGATAGATAGATAGATAGATCTTAACCGACTGAGATAGATACATAAATACACCTGCAAAGAGTGGTATAGATAGATAGATAGATAGATAGATAGAGATAGATAGATAGATAGATCTTACCAGAGTGGGATAGATAGATAGATAGATAGATAGATAGATAGATAGAAACAGACTGATATATATATATATATATATATATATATATATATATATATATATATATATATATGAACAGGCTGAGATAGACAGATCTATCTATTTATCTGTATCTCTCATTGTTTTCTTTCTATTTATCTATCTATCTCTGTGTTTTCTATCTATATATCTACATATCTATCTCGGTTATTTCATTTTATTTGTCTCGCTATCTATTTATCTATTTCACTCTTTTCTATCTATCTATCTCTCTATCTCTGTTCGCATCTATCTATCTATCTATCTATCTATCTATCTCAGTCTGTTCGCATCTATCTATCTATGCATCTATCTATGTATCTATATATATATATGTGTGTGTGTGTTTAACGTCAGAGCAATCGTCACAGATATCGAAATCGAAAAGTCGACTTTAAATTCCAGTCTGTTGTGTTCTTATATACCCAACCTAATGCCATTGGGAAATACAGAATCGGACTCTCGGCTTGTGCCCCTAGCCTGGGTTTATATATCAGGGCAGATTGTATTCTCGTGATTTGAATGGCAACCAGGCTAAGATCAAGAAATTTAAATATAGAATGCAATGAGAAACCACTTCACTATTTTTCCCAAGAAACAACGTCAATTCACTCATAAAGAAAAATCAGTAAACACTGCTGAAGGGAAGAAGTCTTTCTCTCTCTCCCTCTCTCTCTCTCTCTCTGTGAGATAGATAGATAGATAGATAGAGAGAGAGAGAGAGATAGATAGATAGATAGATAGATAGATAGATAGATAGATAGATATGAACAGACTGAGATAGATAGATAGATAGATAGATAGATGTTTATCCCTTGTTTTCTGTTTAGGATTTAGTTTCCGTTTTCTTCTAAAGTCTACTTCAACTACTGACGTCTCAGTGCAAACTATGAAATTGTGTTTACTGATCATTTTTCTCTTCAATAGGAGTAGATGGGTTTGCCTATCGTCAGGCTCACACTCCTACTCGGTCTTTTTAACAGGAGTTGAGGTTTATCTTGTTTCCTGTTTTAGGATTGGGTTTCTAAAATCAATTCATTTTCTTTCACTTCCAGTAGCACCCTGCGTCTTAGTCGCATTATCGCCTTGCTCGGGGGTCAACTGAATAAAAAACAAAATATCTGATATGGTGTTGAATGCTGGAGAATCAGAGACAGGGCATAAAGAGAAAGAGACAAATGGTAAGAAGACAGTGGCATTGCCCCCGTTCACCAGAATCTTAATCCATTCAAACCTTAGGTCAAAAGTCATCTATCCTCCATATTCGTATAATCTACACTTCCTTTACACTTCCATACTACCACTTCATTCCGTAACTCTCTACTCGTAGGCCTTGTATTGGTTGAATATTTAGTAAAAACTAACACAGAACATATGATCTATGAAAATGTTTTGAAGAAAATAGAAACTAAAATGAAATTGATAGAATTAGAAAGAAGTAGGTGAAATTTATGTAACATGTAATGAGGTAGGCGGTTCGAAGAATATAACACTCACAAGACATGCTGAAGGCGAATTAAGTAGACTGAAACACGAGAAGGAAACCTACAAACCTGAGTGAATGGATGTCAGAAGAAGGACAAATAAGGAGAGTAACGGAATTAATGTTACGTAGAACAATAATAAAGACAGGAATGTTTCAGCGGGCGATGATCGGCCATTTCCTGGAAGTACATGTCATATAAAAGAATATTCACTTCTCAAAAGAGAATCCTGATAACTTTTGCACACGCTTAAAGAGTTGACTTGGTTCACTTAAATTTCCTCATCAACCATTGAGCGCATGACAAATCAAGTTTATAAAAAATGTCTTTTCTATCGTTCAGGATATTTTTTATTAGAAGCCCAGTATACAAAGTTCAATTTGCTGATGAGGCATTTGTAGTAAAGCCGTGACAACAACCCGCTCTCACCCCTTCACTGTCGAAACTCCTAAATGTAACCGTCTCTTCTACTCCAATAGCTTCATGTCTCGCACCTCTCGCCTGTGGAACTCCCTTCTCTATTCTAGTTTCCCTGAGAGCTATAATCTCCAGCTATTCAAATGTAATGTCAATCGACATCTCCAGTTGCCTTGATCTATCCACTACCCTTCTCCCCATTCTTTCTTCTATCACTCCTATCTGATCTTGTTCTAAATTTTTTGTAACCCCTTGCGTCCTAGTGGCTTCCCGCCTTGCTTGGGTTGATACGCTTACCCCCCCCCCAAAAAAAAAACAAAAAAATAAAGTAACGATGACTTATGTGATATTTACAGCATTCTGGCAAGAGTAAACTTTTCAGCCATAATAAATTTTTTGGAGATAATTTTAAATAAATGACATATTTAATCCTATCTCTTAACTTCTAACACTAACCTTAAAAATTTTGAGTTGTACATTATTATGGAAATTAAATAATTCTTATATACAGGGCACGGAAAAATTAACACGTTTTTTTTTTAATTAACTTTTACTGAACAAAAATAAATTAAAATGGCTTAATATTAATTATGGCTTACGTGTTCAGGAATGGTTAAATTTTAATTTCGAGCTGTGTTGGATAAGACAACATGATGCGATTGAGTAGTTATCACAATCACCAGACCTAACACTACCAGATTTTTTTTAGTGGACACTACTGAAAGATCTTGTTTACAGGATTAAATAAAAAAAACAGTTCCTGAATTAAAACAATAAATTTACTGAAATTAATGTAGAAATGTGTCAAATAGTTTGCATTTATAAGTTATAAGAGTAGTTTAAGATGGCTTAATATTAACTATGGCTTACTTCTTCAGGAATTATTAAATCTTAATTTCGAGCTGAGGTCGATAGGACGACGTGGAACAATTGAGTAGCAATCACAATCATCAGACCTAACACCACCAGACTTTATTCTTGTGGACTGTCTTTACGGCAGCGAATGTTGAACGATTTCCTCAAAGATGAAGAAAAGACTTGAAGTGACGGAGATAATATCATGGACCGAGCGTGTGAGCAACGCTGAAGTATTAGAGAGGGTGCAAACAAGGAGGAGGGTTATACTTAACATCAAGAAGAGGCAGCTGAAGTTCCTGGGACACATAATGAGGAAGGAGGGCTTGGAGAATTTAATATGCACGGGTCGAATAGAGGGCACAAGAGACAAGGGAAAACAACACATGATATACCTAGCGGCCTTAAGCAAATGGTCTGGGGGACGTGGCAGAGGGAAGGAACTTGTTGAGATCTGCAAGGGATAGAGGGAGGGGGAGAGCCATGATCACCTACGTCCTTAAAGGACACGGCACATAGAAAGGAAAGAATTTCAGACTCTTTTTTTTAAATGTGTCAAGTGGATTGGATGTGGATGGATTCATACTTTTCCCAATGGTGTTGAGACTAATCGCTCTGATATCACACTTGGGAACAAGAGCAGATTCTACACTTGGGGGATAAGAACATTATAAAAGCGGAACAGGGGAAAATACAGAGGTACGAAAAGCTAGCAGGGCAGATCAGACATTATCGAAAATTTTCTCCCACAATAATTAAGGGTGCGGCAAACTAACATCCTTTTTATTTATTAACCTTTATTTAACAAAAATAAATTAGAGAAGTTTTAGATGGCTTAATATTAACTATGGCTTACGCGTTCGTGAATGGTCAAATCTTAATTTCGAGCTGAGGTGGATATGACGACGTGGAAGAATTGAGCTGGCATCCCGATAACTAGACCTAACATCACCAGACATTTTCTTGGGTGTACTGAAAGATCTTATCCGCTCAAACGGAAAACAATTCCTGAATTAAAACATTCAGTTTTTGAAACATTATCTGAAATAAATGTAGAAATGTGTCAAATGTAAAGGTTCAGCGTTGTATTAAACATCAAGGGGAGAATTTTAAACATGTTCAATAGATTTTGCTAATCATGGCATTTTGATGGGACAATATTTATAAATTTTTTCTAGCGTCATTTCAATAAAAAGTAATTATTAATAGATGCGAACAGACTGATATAGATAGATTGATATAAATAGACTGAGATAGATAGATTTAATTGACACGTGGAGATATTGAAATAAAGAGGAAATCATTGAATGAAAAAGATTGTGCTGCGCCAGACATTTACGAAGGCAACAACATGGATTCTTTATCTCGGTTTGAACGCCGAAAACTATTATAGAAATGGGAAACGTTACTACTACTTGAGTACATTTATTCTAAAAAGAGTGTTAGATAGGAATTGACTGGAAAAGAAAGAAAGAAAGAAAGAAAGAAAGAAAGAAAGAAAGAAACAAATTGTGAAATATTTCAATAGTCGGAGATAGGTATGAAGAGCTTGACGAGGATATATATATATATATATATATATATATATATATATATATATATATATATATATATATATAGAGAGAGAGAGAGAGAGAGAGAGAGAGAGAGAGATGTTTATTTTTGTTCAATAAAAATTAATAAATAAAAATGGCCTTAATTCACCAAAACCCTTGTATAATCTTTTTAAAAGAGCTATCTTTTTAATCAATGTAAAAACCAACAAGTGCATCGTCATTGCTTGAAACTGCCAAGTGTTGGATTTTTTAATCATGGCTTTACGCGCAATCAAATATGTGCAACTATGACTGTATGTATGTACTTATGTATATGATCTGGTTCACCTGCGACATATTTAGAAATCCTTGATGAAATCCAAAGAAGAATCTGCAATGTCCTGACCTGCCATCGCGGATTCAGTCACTTTCTTGTGATTTTTCTATGAAGCGTCGTCGTCGGCGGCATCCGTCCTGGGCGTGATATATGGAGAACTAGGGCTGCCTGGACGTCTAGTTCCCCACTCTCGGCCTTGCTAGCAGAGTCCAAAAGAGAGGATAAACCGATACAGTTTGGTACCAGCACGACTGCAGGAGTTGCCGGAAGGTAGCACAAAGTGCCGTCCATCCACGTTAGGGGCTCCACTCTGGGTTTGAATTCAGAGTTGTCCTTATCCTAGATCAGTTGCCATCCAAGGCTGTAGAACCCATACTTGGAGGGAGAAGAAGAGGATTCATACCGTATTAGCACGTAAGTGAATATAATGGATTCGACTGGAATTCGAACTCGGCTCTCCGATTCCTCAATCCAAGCCGCTATCCATTACTCCACCGTACCACCTTTCTATGAAAACTTTCATAGTAATTCTTGTGATGAACTTTCATTTGAGGTATTGTTGTGGCTGTAATAAGAAAGGTAAGTAAGACTGTGTTATTTTGGTGTAAGGAATACTATGGTATCCACAATACTATGGGCCAGTGACTATCGCAATCAAAGTTTAATTATAGACAGATGAAGATCACCCTTCTCCTATCCCCTCTTTTGACGTGGTATAAAACAAAATTTCTTGGTCTCACACTGTCCGCTGACCTGAAATGGAACAATTACATTGGATCAATAGCTTCATCCACTGCAAGGAAAGTTGGTTCCGCGTGTCGCGCCAAAAAGTTTTCCTCGCCTGAGTCCATTCTTCAAATCTATAAATCAACCATTCGCCCTTGCATGGAATACTTCTGCCTTATATGGTCTGGTGCCCCCGCTGTTCGCCTTAAGGTCCTCGACAAGATCCAGAGACGGATAAGCAATGTAGTTGGTCCTGATCTGGCATCTCGTCTTCAGTTGCTCTCTCACAGACGTACCGTCGCCTCCCTCTGTCTTTTCTACAAATACTTTCACGTTAACTGCTCAGACGAGCTACTTTCGCTGGTTCCCAGACTGCATGAATTTAAGCGTGCTACTAGGCTGGCATCACAGTCCCACCCTTTCACTGTCGAAACGGTTAAATGTGGCCGTCTCTTCTACTCCAATAGCTTCATGTCTCGCACCTCCCGTCTGTGTAATTCCCTTCCTATTACTTGTTTCCCTGATAGCTATAATCTCCAAATATTCAAATGTAATATCAATCGACATCCCCAGATGCCCTGACCAATCCCCTGCCCTTCTCTTCATCCTTCCCTCCATCACGCCTCTTTACTCTTGCGACCACTCTTTAACCCCCCCCCCATGCGTACTAGTGGCATCCCGCCTTGCTTGGGGTGAAATGCTTAAAAAAATATATCACTTTCCTCTGTGGTCTGTTGACTCTATGAATTTAAGTGTGCTATTAGATTGTCGGCAGGGTTTCATTATTTGAAAGTTGAAATACCTAGATATAACCGGAAGTTCTATGCTAACACCTTCTTTTTTTGCACTTCTTACTTGTGGAACTCTCTTCCGGCTTCTTCCTTTTCAGTCAACTTTGATCTTCAAAAATTTAAATGCAGTGCCAGTCTTGAAATTCTTTCTTTTTAATTTCTCTTCTTTTATTCTTCCTGCTCCTTAGTAGTTTTCTTACATTCTTTCGCACTCAATAACCCTTTGCGTCTTAGTGGCTTTATTGCTTGTGCTAAAATGATTTTAAAAAAAGACGAAATCAATATCGAAATGGGAAAAAGATGTCAGGGAAAGGGCGGTTGGGGGCTGACAAAAATCTTTACCAAGGATTGACCGACGCCTTAGGAGTGAAATTGTGTCGATGGAAGTGTACGGAACGCTTCGATATTTGTGATAGCACGAAGTCACAAGTCATCGTGGCCGAGAGTTCGAGCGGAATGGTTTTGTTCGACTACTAATTAACTGTAACTAATGTCTGCACGCTATATTTGGAGTATAAAGCATAAGTCAGCTATGTGTTGAAGAAACACAAATGTGACTGAGCAGACGTCTGCAACAGGGAATAGCCGAGAACATTTAGAAACGCAAGTAAATATATGTGAATGTGTATTAAGTCAGCTTAGTGTGACGTAGCACAAAGAGGAATGCTTGAGATGAAGATTACATTGCACCAATTTAGAGCCGAAAACGGTATGGCTGCCTGGAAAATCAGCATTTTAATACATATGTTTTGATAACAATGTACACTATTTACATCGTTCGGACTGTTGTCCTCATCTTTCTTGACATATTCACGACATTTCGGCTGTTTTACGTTCCAGCCTTCTTCAGGATCTGTCTATAATTCTGAGACGAGGTATTGTAACTATTTACACAATTTACATCGTTCGGACTGTTGTTCTCATCTTTCTTGACATGTACCCGACATTTCGGCTGTTGTACGCTCCAGCCTTCTTCAGGGTCTGTCTATATTTCTCAGATGAGGTATTGTAACTATTTACACAATTTATATTGTTCGAACTCTTATCCTCATCTTTATTGACATGCCCACGGCGTTTAGGCCGTTGTACGCTTCGGTCTTCTTCAAGTGATATATCTGGCCCAGTGGATAAAGTGTTGGTTGATTGATTCAAAAAGTGACTTGACCGAAATAGTTGTGAGTTCAATGCCTGGCCACAGCAGAGCGAACAAAATTTAGAGAGTTGAGTTACTAAGTGGCAAATACCTGAAACTCGTATATCCAAAAAGGCATGGCACGTGGAATTAGAACCCCCCCCCCTGTGGACTAAATAAAGGGTTCGGTTCGAAATTCACTTGAATAAGACAGGAGCGTAGATTGGCCGAAACCTCGTGAGTGTGGCAATAAAGACGAGGACAACAGTCCGAAAAATGTAAATAGTTTAAATACTTACAATGCCTCATCATACTAACGACGTTTCAGCCGTTTTACGCCCCAGCCTTCTTCAGGATCTGTCTATATTTCGCAGATGAGGTATTGTAACTATTTACACCATTTACTTCGTTCGGACTGCTATCCACATTTTTATTGCCATAGGCAGATGTTTAAGTTTTGGTCTTAACTCGAACGCCGACCACCATCGCCGGTCGGAAATCTCATCAATCTTATCCAAGTTGGATGCCTTCAGGGCGTTTGTGTGAGGGTTTAAGGCATAAAGTACAACGGGTCATGACGGCATTAAAGTGCTTTTATTCAGTCATCATGGAGACACAGTTCAGTTCTTATATTACAAAAAAAAAATGCAGATACAAGGAATCTAGTAACCTATACAATTCTTTTTCGTCTTCTTTCTTTTATCTTCTTCTTCTTTCTTTGTTTCTTTCTTTCCTCTTTCTTTTGTTCTTTCCTTCCTCTTCTTCTTTCTTTCTTTCATCTTCTTTCTTCTTCTTTCTTTCTTCTTTTTTTCATTCTTTCTTTTTTCTTTCTTTCTTTCTTTCTTTCTTTCTTTCTTTCTTTCTTTCTTCTTTCTATCATTCTTTCCTTCTTTCTTTCTTCTTCTCTTTTTCTTTCTTTCTTTTTCTTTCTTTCTATCATTCTTTCCTTCTTTCTTTCTTTTTTCTTCTTCTCTTTTTCATTCTTTTTTTCTTTCTTTCTTTCTATCATTCTTTCTTTCTTTCTTTCTATCATTCATTCATTCTTTCTTTCTTTCTTTCTTCTTCTCTTTTTCTTTCTTTCTTTCTTTCTTTCTTTCTTTCTTTACTTTTCTCTAATACATATTTTTCTTTCGTTCTCTTTCTCATCATTTATTTCTTTTTCAGCCCCGTTTTTCTTGTTAATATTCTGATGCTGATTCTTTTCTCTCTCTCTTTCTCCTGTTAAATATTCTCTTTTTTTTTTAATCGGTATCACCCCATGCAAGGCAATAAAGCCACTAACACACAAACGATTACATGGTGTGGAAGAATTAAAAACAGAAATATTAATAATAAGCAAGATCAATAGAAGAGTAATCATAAAGACAGTAAATATCGATTGACATTTTATATTTTCAACATTAAAGTTGGCAGGAAATCATGGAGCAAGAAGAAGGTCTGTCAGTTTAGAACTTACGATTACATTTAGCCAGCTCAACTGTTAATTTTCTTCTTCTTCTTCTTCTTCTTCTTCTTCTTCTTCTTCCCCTTCTATTCCTCCTCCTCTTCTTCTCCTTCTTCCTCTTCCTCCTTCTCGCCTTCTCATCCTCCTCCTCCCCTTCTACTCTTCCTCTTCTTCTTCTTCCTCCTCCCCTTCTACTCTTCCTCTTCCTCTTCCGTTTTCTTCTTCTTCTTCTTCTTGCTTCTCTTTCTTCTCATTCTAACTTTTTCACTCCCTTTTCTTTTTTTCTGGACGTACCTTTTTATTCTAATGATTATAACCCCCCCCCCACTCTATTTTTAATATTCATCAATTTTCTCTTTTTTTTCTCACTGGTTTCCTCCTTATTAATTTCTCTCTTTGTTCTTTGTTTTCTCATCTTTTTTCTTTTTCTCCTCCTCATCCTTCCCCTCTTTTTTTTTGTTATTCTTTCTATTTTTCTTCTTATTATCCTTCCCCTTTTCTTGATTTGCTTCATCTGTCTCTTTTCTCCTTCACGTCATTTTCCTCCCTCTTTTTCTTTCTCATTTTCTTTTTCTTCTCCTTCCTCCTTACTTATCTTTTTTCCTTCTGTCTCTCTTCTCCTACTCATCCTTTCCCTCTCTCTTTTTCCTTATGCTATTATTTCTCTTTTTCTTCTTCTTCTTATCCTTCTCCTGTCTTATTTCCTTTCTTCTGTCTCTTTTCTCCTTATCATCCTTTCCCCTCTCTCTTTTTCTTATTGTATTTCTTTGTTTCTTTTCTTCTTTCTTTACTGTATTTTCTTAGGCCTTTTCCTCTTTCTTTTTCGTATTTTAATTTCTTCTTTCTTCATTTTCTTTTCTTTCCTGATTAATCTTTTTCTTCTTAAACATCTACTTCTATCCTTTTTTTCCTTTCCTTTGTTTTCTTCTTCTCCATTTACTTTCTACAATCCATCATGACAAATAGATGAATGGCCCACTCATGCACCATCACCAGCCTCGATTTGAACGTCATTAAAACGATATCTTGAATGGGGTACACACGGAAGAATCCTGTAAATGGGTGAATGGGTGTGCAGACATTGGAAGTAAGATGAGTTATATGACGATTTTATTTATTGCTTTACTTATTTTGTATGTGTGTTCTATTCTCTTCAACTATCTTTAAAAGCCGGTGGGAATACTCTTATTTTAACATGAATAAATCAGAATAATGCCGGGATTTCTCGGACTAAATGCTCCTAAATGTGACTCTGATATCTCGCTCTGTCGAATGAACACCTTCATCTGCTCGTCAGTAACATAAATGGACGTTTTAAATAACGGTTAAAACAAGGCGCCGAAAATCTCGGTTACGTCCAGGCAATTTTTACGGAAAAAAAGGGATTCATTTTCAGTATGTCTATCTATCTATCTATCTATCTATCAGTACATATCAACCTATGTATTGACGTATCTATCTATCTATCTATCTATCTAGCTAGCTAGCTATGCCAATTTATTCTTTCATCTCTCTCTCTCTCTCTCTCTCTCTCTCTATATATATATATATATATATATATATATATAAAATCACAAGGAAACTACATTACAAGAAAGTGACTGAATCCGCGATGGCAGGTCAGGACATTGCAGATTCTTCTTTGGATTTAATCAAGGATTTCTAAATATGTCGCAGGTGAACCAGATCATATACATAAGTACATACATACAGTCATAGTTGCACATATTTGATTGCACGTAAAGCCATGACTAAAAAATCCAACACTTGGCAGTTTCAAGCAATGACGATGCACTTGTTGGTTTTTACATTGATCTTTTAAAAAGATTATACAAGGGTTTTGGTGAATTAAGGCCATTTTTATTTATTAATTTTTATTGAACAACAATAAACATGTGTCTCTCTCTCTCTCTCTCTCTCTATATATATATATATATATATATATATATATATATATTCTCGTCAAGCTCTTCATACTTATCTCCAACTATTGAAATATTTCGCAATTAGTTTGTTTGATTGTTTGTTTGTATCTTTCTTTCTTTTCCAGTCAATTCCTATCTAACACTCTTTTTAGAATAAATGTACTCAAGTAGTAGTAACTTTTCCCATTTCTATAATAGTTTTCGGCGTTCAAACCGAGATAAAGAATCCATGTTGTTGCCTTCGTAAATATCTGGCGCAGCACAATCTTTTTCAATCAATGATTTCATCATTACTTCAATATCTCCACGAGTCAATTAAAATTTTTATTTATCGGCCCATATAAGACTTACATATCTCGTGGTAATTTAAACTTTAGGATTTAGCAATCGGCTCATTTATGTAGGCAACTAAGCCGGGCATTTCACAAGGAAGAGGTTATAGTAGTTCCAACGAGAGAAAAGTGTGTATATTAAAAAGAAGAGAGAAACCGCAAACGTTTTTGGTTGTAATGCGGATTTTTAAAAAAATATATTATGCTACATTTTCCATAATTTTTCTACACGTGTTTCTGGTCTCGCGACCGTCATCAAGTAAATGGTGGAGATTTCCACATATTATTAAAAATAATTAATTTTTTTCCCCTTTATGTTTTTCGATGTTAAATATTCTCGATATGAGACATTCTCTTTTTTGTGATATAGGGACAAATGACTTTCTTGAACTGGCAGTGAAAAGTTCTGCGTAGAAAAAATCACTACGCCACAGTGGTGCAATTAGTAACTACCACAATATTCCTCAGGCCTCACCACTGGCATCCTTTCACTCTTCAAAAATCCAATCCCAATTGAAAGGAACGAGATTTGAAAACACTGAGGCAATCCAAGAGAATGCCAAGAGGTCGCTGCTAGCTATCTCAAAATGAATTTACTTAAATATTTTTGTATATATAAATAACGTATAACAATAAAATATATTAAAATACATATATATATATACATACATACATATATATATATATATATATATATATATATATATATATATATATATATATAAAGCCCCTGATTTAGAAAAAAAAAATATACATGATCCTGATGGAGGGAAATAAATAAATAGATATATAAATCAAATTTATGCGTGGAAATTTTATTTTATTTAGTGAATCGTTATGAGCCTGAATGGTTTCGTGGGTGGCGGCTTCATCGGATCACTCTTCTTGCAAGGGGCTGTAGTCAGCGCCCGCGTATAGAAATAGGCGTGACGAATAGATTTAATCAGCTAATGTCTGAGGATCGATTTTTAGCAGTATGATACTTTTAGTTATGCGTGTACGTGGTATTTTTTAAAGAAATAAGATCCCCAAAATGCAATACAGTATACCTATCTTTCAGCATGAAGAAGAGATTTGAAGCAAAAGAAATGTGGTTATACAGAAGGATGCTGAGGATATCATGGACCAAACAGTTGAACAACGACAAAGAAGATGGAAAGAAAAAGGAGACTTATACTTAACACCAGGAAGAGACAGTTGACATTTCTAGGGTTCATAATGAGGAAAGAGGGCTTGGAAAATGTGATACTCACAAGACAGATTAAAAGCAAGAGGGAGAGAGAAAAACAACGCACAACCTACTTAGTGTGCTTGAGTAAATTGATGGCGAAACAGGGTTTAGGAGAAATGACAAAAAGACAAAGTTTATCAAGATCTACTAAGGGTAGGAAATTGTGGAGAGCCATGATCGCTAACGTCCTGAAAGGACATGGCACATACAAGGGGAAGAATACAACTGAGTTATATTTTCAATTTTTGTTTACCAGCATTATTCTTAAAAAATAATTTACAGAATTTGCCTGTGGTTTATACTTCGACTATGCAAGACAGGAGGAGTACTTTGGTAACAAAGAAAAGAGTACTGAACTGCTACGTGATATCTGTCATCCTTTACGACAGCGAATATTAGACGGTCTCCTCAAAGATGAAGAAGAGACTCCAGGCTACAGAAGAAAGGTTCTATAGAAGGATGCTAAGGATATCATTAACCGAGTGTGTGAGCAACGATGAGGTCTTAGAGAGGATGCAAACAAGGAGGAGCCTTATACTTAACATCAGGAAGAGGCAGCTGAAGTTTCTGGGACACATAATGAGGAAGGAGGGCCTGGAGAATCTGATACTCACGGGTCGAATAGAAGGAAAGAGAGATAAGGAAAAACAACGCATGACATACCTGGCGGGCTTAAGCAAGTGGCTGACAGAACGTTGTCTTGTGAAGGAAGCAGAGTAACGGAACTTGTTGAGAACTGCGAGGGATAGGAGGGAGTGGAGGGCCATGATCGCCTACGTCCTGAAGGGGCGCGACACATAAAAAGAAAGAAACACCCTGAACTGGCCTTAATTACAGTTTCTGGTTGTTGTAGCGTACCTACGGACGATAATGGGTATGCTCCCATTCCCATATATACAGCACTAAATAATGTATGTTGGTCTAGAGTTGGAGATTCATCTCCATCTGTGCTGGTCAAACTCTCTGTCTCCGGGCATAGATGATCCCCAGACGAGGCAATGTTGAATGGCAGAGTCTCGTCTCGGGAAACCGCTATGCGACACCGTTTTATACGAGGTCTATGGGGAATTTTTGGCTGAGCATAAGGCTCGGATATCCCACATTATATTCAGCCTTGTGCCACATCTAACCGGGTGGGGAGGTTGGTAGATATCCTAGAGTTGCAGTTGTGGAATTCACTTGATTCACTTCTAGCAGTTGACTACTTCTACGTGCCGCAGGCGAATCTTATATGTGTTGTTCTTGTCCTTAGTATTATCGTTCATTACCAACCTTTGTTTGAGTATTCGATTCAGTAACCTTCCCTAGGTCACAACACTGTTAGAGAGCACATTAATAGGCGGGATCAACGGTTTTGAACCATGCCAACTCGCTCAAACCTTCTGTCACGACGCCATTTTGTATTATCATATATTCACTATTATTTGCAAATTATCAAATGTCTTTTGAGTAACGTTCTGAATATTTTGATGTGAAAATGTTTTCGATGAACTGGTTTTCATTAGAGAAAGTTTTCAGCCTTTTTTAGTGATCGAAAAATATAATAATCGGTGAATATGGTGGATATTGTGATTAACCGAGTTCCAAAAATGTTTATCTCTGTTATTTTTGTTGTAAGCGACCTTGCTTTGTCGTGTGGGAGGACGAAATTTTTCCTTTAATGCACTTTTCAACTTAAGAAATTACCACTGCCAGGAAAAAACTATAGCGTGTTAATGTAATTCAAATTTATACTTTACTATCACCCATGGTAAGCGGTTAGGAAGATACTTTCAACTGGTTCCTAAAAATCGAAATTACTTATGACTTAACCTAATAGCTAAGAATTCTTCGCCAGAAGACCTAATACATGTTAGAAGTACCATCTAGCAACGTTTATGCTCCAACTGATGGTGTAGCTATGGGTTCACCACTTGATCTTACTTTTTCTGATTATTACATAACCAGCGTATAAAACAAAACCTTTAATAATTTTTCCAAACCTACGATATATGTTCGATGGTATATTCATAATAACGTCGTCGGCGGCTTTATCTCGTATTTAATTTTCTCTTTGCTGATTGTTTCTTTTATGATGATGACATTGAGGACTAAATTCGTCTCCAAGGTTCAGGACTAGGAATTTCCAGTTTCCCCAAACCTACTCCCATCATCAATTCCCTATCGTCGTTTGGCTTTCCAAGATTTGGTTAAAGGGGAAACAAAATCAAAGTAGAAGAAAGTGGCGATGGGCATCAACTTGTCAGGAAGTGACCCACATACTTGATTTCTTTACCTTTCTTTGAGACATATATGGAATGAGACAGACCGAACCCAGTTATGAAACCGCAACGGACTACCGCTGATGCTGATATCGTAAAACATAGGCAAAATATTATCAAAAAATAAATAAAAATAAAAAAAAACCTTCGAGGAAAAGATTTCTCCACTCATGAACCTAACACTAATAAAAGAAATATTTCTTTAGTCAACGCTAATAGTCACAATTCGATTATTTCTCTGTATACAAAACCCACATGAAAATGTTTGCTTTCTTAATTCCAGAAATAATTTTCCTCACAGATATAAAATAGCTGTAATATAAAGTTAGTTGGGCAGAAAATTTATTCGCATACGTTTATGGAAATCATAGCTACCAGGGATATTGCAGTTTTTTTGTGTATAATATGTAACTAGTGAGCTAGCCAAAATGACTTGACTCCCTTTATAGTCCACCAATAGAAGGTTAACCAATCAGAAGACTTAGAATATTCAATTCGTCGTGTATAAAGGCGGCCATTTTGTTTACTCTATCCGAATGTCCAGTACCAGCTTGTCAGGCGAAGAGGAACAGAGGGACGAACTACGCTCTGCTACTTTTACCGGGATATCCACTGCTAACCTGAACAACGCTTCCCTACTGTCTTCGAAATATTCACTGCTAACCTTTGGATTCTATACTCAAAGACGACCGTCATCATCAACAACAAGTGAAGCAAGTAGCTGGAAGAT